AGACGCACAGCTTTAAGCTCAGGCTGATGAAAAAGCGAGTAAGACTCGTCACCTAAGAGCGCATGAAGTGCATTCGAATGCAAAGCGCATAATACTCGACACAAACGGCTGCAGCTGCAACACGGACGGTCAAGTCTAAACTTGAAGGTTGGGATGCTGCAATGCGAGCTAGGAGATCGAGTTAGCGACTGGTTGATCTTCCGATGCCGAAACCACATGGTAGGCGCGGTGTGCTGTGCGAGTCGCACATGGATCACACGCAAATCGTGCGGCATTTGTGTAGAGTAGCCAGTCAGCCGGTCTGGCTGCCCTTCCTTGCGAAAAAGAAAACAGACCGACGACGCTGACCTACCACCACGCGTGGTCATACAGCGTGCTAGGTCCTTATGCTATATTATAAATGGCACCTCGCAGATACCACGTGGTGGCGGTTTCATTATGCCCCACTATGTATACTCGCAATGGAGAAAAAGAACTAAAGTAGACTCACCAGCAGGTTTACAGTGGGAAGTGTAAACGATGTGGCCACAAAGAGTATTAAGGGGACTGGCAATGGTCTATTGGCTAGCAACAATAGGAAAAAAAACAACTTGAAAAGTGCCTGAGCTCAGTCTTCAAGAGGAGAATGCAACAGGTTATAATCTGGTGATCATGCACATTGACTTATTTATTTATTTATTTATTTATTTTCATACTCTCAGGGCCCTTGGGCATTACAGAGAGGAGTGGTCTGACAACAATATATCAATAACTGCAATTTTGAAGGCGGCAGATTCTTCGATTGCAGCAATGGAGGCAGGAAGGTGGTTCCAGTCACTGCTTGTTTGAGGCAAAAAAGAAGCATGGCAAGTGTTAGTGCGGCATATGGGAACTTTAACTTTAAGATGATGGTCTAACCGTGGTGATACATAATCTGGGGGAAGGAAAAGATCATTTTTAAGTGTTGGATTCGTGTAAAAGATTTTGTGAAATAGGTTGAGACGGAAGTACTTACGGCGTGACTTAAGTGTTGGTAATCCTAGGGTAGCTTTCATTGAAGAAACACTGGCGTAGCGGTTGTAGTTAGAGAGCACAAAACGAGCTGCACGGTTCTGAACGGATTCAAGGGCTGTAGTTAATACGGAGCTAAATGGATCCCAAATAGAACAAGCGTATTCCAATTTCGATCTAACGAGTGTTGTGTACAATTTAAGTTTTAAATCTGAAGGAACGGATGAAAAATGACGGCGGAGAAATCCAAGCATGCGATCAGCGTTATTAATCACATGTTCAACATGCATATTCCAAGAGAGGTTGTGGGTTATATGCACGCCAAGGTAACGGTAACTAGTAACGGGGTTTAAAGAGGAGTTTTTGAGGGTATAGGAAAAATGGTCATTGACTTTATTGTGGTGCATTACTCTCATAACTTTACACTTACTGATGTTTAATTTCATGAGCCACTTGTCGCACCAGTTAGAAACAGCGTCAATGTCGGACTGCAATGTAGAAACGTCATGTTGATTATGAATGACACGATACAGTACGCAATCATCAGCAAAAAGCCTAATGGTAGAATTAATTCCGACAGGCAAATCATTAATATAAATAAGAAAAAGCAATGGACCTAAAACCGAACCCTGTGGTACGCCTGATGTTACAGCAACGGTAGGAGAGTTATAATTATTAGCATGAACATACTGCAGACGGTTTGTTAGAAAACAGTGAATCCAGTCAAGGATGTTAGGATCTATACTTAGCTTATAGCTATACTTAGACTTATAGCTCCTATAAGCTAAGACTATACTTAGCTTATAGGAGCTATACTTAGACTTATCGTAGGCTGGCCTGGCTTTGGTTCTTGGTGAATGCCTCTACCCTGTCACAAGGAAACCAACATCTGCGCTTGTTATATTGGCTATTTCCAACTGTCTGGGCATGCCTACTGCAATTACTGTTGAACAGTGCTCTCTACGTAATAATTATTCTTTTTGGAAGAAGGGCCCATTATGCGTCCGTAAGGCCACACGCAAACCTGCGCAGATGCTCACCTTCTTGATGATTTTAAGGATGAATAAATGTCTGAGTGCTTTGTAATGTGTGGGACTTTGAAGCCCCCACTCGATGCACAATTCGCATGTTTTGATGCCTGGCTCGATTATACACTTCTGCCCTGCAACAATGAATGCATTTAGTAGACTTGTCGCACTACGTGACATCCGGATAGTGTTTTTTTTTTTTTTCTCAAAGCAGTTTAAAGCAATGGCGTGGCTCTGCAGTAGAACAAATGCTTGCCACTTAGAAGACCTGGGTTCAGTTCTCACTCAAACGAAAAATTTTGATCAATTATCTTATGTGCAACTGTCTTGATTTTTAGCTCGTGCACAGTGCTGATTTTCGCTCATAAGCAACGATGCCTACACCTGCATTTCTGTGAAAAAAGCTCTCTAATGCTATTGTACTAAAACTGCCTCTGAGTAAGTGACAACAGCACAAAGTTGAAACAAAAAGGCAAGGACTTCATGATAACTCAAAGGGAAGCACTTTACTGTTTGAAGTGAGGTTGGGTGTTTAGAGCACATAGTTATAAAGAGTGGTTTTGTGATGAAGAAAAAGAATGTACCTGTGAGAGAGCTTAAGAAATCATGAAACATGTTTGAATTGAATGTGAAGATATCCACCTGATTGTATGTTTGGGCACTAGCCTACATGAAGCCTTAAGCTTTAAGGACAAAACAGGTAAACATACTCATAGTATAGATAAACTAAAGATATTCGAAGAATCGGGAGTGGAAAAGGGGGTGGAGATAGGACAAAATTAAATATCTGGAGTGCTAAGGTTACACTTCTATAAGGTGTAGGAAGTTGGGCGGTTAATTTTAGAGCTAGTCAAGAATTAGGCCAATTCATAAGAAAATAGTAATAGAAAAAGATTTTTGAAAGCTTTGTGGCACACAGGTCACCACTTCGTTTTAAGGTGGACACTCATGCCATCTATCCTGCATCTTCAGCTGGCCATTCAATTGCACTTTAAGACAAGGATTATTCAAGCCGCACTAGCCATATAAGCAGAAAATTACATGGATATCATATGTTTAGAATGAGATATGTACATTGGTACTTTACCTTTAAAGAGGAAAATTTGTGAGTGGTTTCATACCTATGAGACAGTTCAATTTCAGGCTGCAATAAGGGCAGAATTTTTCCAGGACATTTGTACAGTGGCTTTCTGTAAGCAGATGACAAATGACCGGCATTTGAGTGTGTTGGCTGGAACACCAAAAGTACTGAAGCATATTCAAAAAGTCATTTGCGTCTGTGCTAAACTTGATATATGGGGGGGGAGGAACACATAATGTTCTAAACATACAGCACAACTACTTTGCTGTGGAGAAAAGAATGGAAGTTCAAGAGTATAAAATGAATTCACAGTTTGAACAGTGACATTGGGAAACCTATCTCCCACCTGCAAGCGTGCTTCTCCAACGAAGTATTTAACAGCATAGTTTTTATCTTTCTGGTGGCCTAGGTGTACAGCACGCAATCACGACATGAAGATGTGCGAAAAGCGTGTGTGCAACACATACGTGAAAACAAGGCGGTATATGCCCAGGTGAGAATCCTGTCCCACAAGGTGCTGCTTTGTCTTTCCTGAGAAAAATTCCTTTGCTAACTATCCTGTCCAAGTCATGTAGATTTCTGTTTCACCTAGTAGGGCTAAAAAGATTGTCAAAGGCCCCCACCCCTCCCCTCTTTTTGCAGGGCTAGAAACATTCCAAAAGTGCTCCATGTTTAAAAGGGATGAGTGGTTGTGGGTGACTAGAAAGGTGTTGCAGAGTGCGCTAGGAGGGTTGGTACCAAGGAGTTTGGTCTTACGAGTGTAAACCATTTCCAGTCATCATTGGTGACCTCTAACGTCAAGCTTCACAATATCACTCTTAGATTCCTAGCTCTGGTAAGGATGCCTATAGCACTCAGTTAATATGTCGCGTTCCGCAGGAAAAAAATAGTTATTTTCCTTCCTTTCTTTTTGCCTCTTGAAATACCCACAAAAAGGTTTGCTGTCATGTCAGTGAGGGTGCAGTTGTTTGCCTGTGCCTAGGTTGCATGTCATATAAATTAAATCTTATTACTTCATAAAGAGGTTCGTCATGAAGATTATGCCATCATTCTCATGCCCTTTTATTTGCAGGAACATGAGGAGTGTCCAGAATGATGTTGTTCATTTTCGCCGTAGTTACTGCTTCCATCTCTTCAAAGATGCAGCCTTTAGTGTCATTGATAAGTTCATGCAAAATGTATCTACTCACATAAATTATGCACATTTGCAAACCTCAAAAAAGACGACATTCCTTTATTCATCAACACAGCTTGTCACATCAAAGCTGCACATAGACTTTTTGCTATTTAAGTATTTTAATCAAGAGCACGAGTTTGCATCGCGAGTGAGTGTTGCATACTACCATTAGAATGACCTCGATTGTCACATAGAAAAATATACACCTAAACATAGCATGAAAGTTTTGCCTTGTTAAGTTAGTCCAAGCTTTGTGTTTAGACTGCACAATTTTTGTTTCTTTATTACACTGCTGCATTTTCATTTTTTATATTAAATTTTTTGCGTATATATATATATATATATATATATATATATATATATATATATATATATATATATTTTGTTTTTCTCTTGTAATGCCCCTCCTGCTTGGGCAAAAGCAGTGGCCTGCAGTATTTCTAAATAAAATAAATAACAAGTCAGTCCTCTAAAATTATTGTGGGCTCAACTGTATAACTTCTCTTTGACTATTTATGGCTTTTCAACTGTAATTGGGTGTCCGAAACCTTCATTTTGCAATATCTTCCAGTAATGTTCAAAGAATGTTCAGCACCGTGTCGAGCTTGCTTTGCCAGCTGTGTGCCTTCACACACTGCTTCTCTGTTGTTATTCTCTAGTACATTGAAGGGGACTTTCAGCAGTATACATCGAACATGGAAAATATCAAGGCAAGTACTGCATAATGGCACTACATATATTTTTACACGTATGGTTCAAAAATGAGTGTGGAATTTTTTTCTGACAGGTCTGGGGAGGACATTTGGAGATGCATGCAATGGCAGACCTTTACAAGTAAGATAGAAAATAATAGTTCCTTACAGTTTTCCTTCTAGCCTTAGGCATAATCTACTTTAGGATGAGCAACTGTTAAAGGGCCCCTAAACAGCTCACAGATACTTGTGTCCTTCTCTCTGCGCCTTTCCACCATAGGGAACAATCTTCACGATTTCACTTATCGCATTGGGGGATGTCGCCAGCAACAGACGCTACCAGTGGGCGAACAAGAACCGGCTCTATGCTAGCAGTTGTGTGTGCTCCATGCGTTTTCCCCTCGGACGCTGAGGAAGGGCCTCAGAGAGATGGACAGACGAGCTGACAAACTCAGCGTGGGGAGGGAAAGAGTGAAACAAAGCTAATGTGTGTGATTCTGCTAGGGTTCACTCTACACTCATGTACAACTGCAATGCCACAACTAAACTTGAACGTCTGGGTGGTTTGGGGGCCCTTTAATATCTTTTTATTTGTAGTGTACAGTTACTTGCTTTCACATTGGGGTTCTGGTGCTTTGAACATGTTTCCAAGGATCAATTTGATGCTTGTGTAGAACTGTCTGAGCATAGTGCCACATTACAGAGACAAAGGAGCAGATAGATGGAAGAGAAGCCTTGGGTGCTAGTGTACATGGTACAGGATAAAATAGAAAGAGGTATTGTTTTGCTATGTTGATTTTTTTCTGGTGTGTGCACTATGTACGAAGCCTTCAGCATTACATGTAGCCTTTCCATCGTGGGATTTTCTTCACAGTGTTATGATTATTTCTTCAGATTCAACGACAGTTAGTGTGTCTTTTTATTTGTGTTTCTGTAATGTTCGTAAAGTATTTGACTTTTTTTACTTGAACCTACAGGAAAGACTTTCTGATCTTTGAAGCCCCGGGCAGGAGTCCCTACTATGCAACACAGTATCATTTTAAGGATATGGTATGATCGATCTCATACACTTTTACGTTTGCCATGCAAATACTACAGTCCACCTTTCTTTTCTTTTGTAGGTGATGCTGTGTTACATACGCAGTAATCACTACGATGCAATCTACCCAAGGCAAAGGCTCAGCGCTGCAGCAATGTGCCAGTGTAAGTTATAAGAGCTTTCAAACTAAATTCATATTGCCTTTTTATTGGTTGTAATTGTTGCATTTTAGTGGCAACAGGCACGAGGCTACACTAATATGTGTTTTCATACTGTTTACCACAGCCATTGTGTATGAAACTCTATACAAGACAGTTTTTGAGTTTGGTGACGATGTTGACTTGGCAGTCAGAAAAATGCTGTATGACAAGACTTACTTCAAGCATAAGAAGAACATGACATTTGAGCAATGGAAAGAAAGGTAATGGGCTATAAATTTTATTCTTTCTGAATAGTGCCCTCATGTGGTAAAAACTTTAGGCAAAAGTGTGATTTTTGTTCTTTTTCAAGATTCTTTTTCTAATGTCAGGCCTCTGAGACAGCCAAGCCTGTTGCATAGAGGCCTATTACACTTACACCTCATTATTTTTTGTTCTACCCATTATTGTCTGTTACTTTATATTTGCCTAACAAAGTACAAGTAATTAATTACGGTAAGAAAAATGTTGCATTGCACAGTAACACAGCCGTATGTCGGATGAAATTTTGTTGAAGCCTAGCAAAGAATTTTCAGGGCTGGCATCTTGTGGCTTCTTAGCTCCTGGCATGACAGCCTGGTGGAAGACAAACTCTGACCGTGGCATGATGAAGTACTAGTGTGCTGGCTTGTGACGCAGGAGGTATTGGGTTCGAGACCCAATATCACTTGTCACCTACTGGTTCTTCTGATGGGGCTCGACACACGAGCCCAGCACTGTGATGCGGGTGCCTGGAAAACAGCCTCTTCATTCTTCTCTCGGATATTTCACAGCGCTTCACCTTGCCTCCCATGACACAGCGTCATGCTATGTTATGGGCTGCAGGAGTTGGAATTTTTCATAACCACAAACAACTCTGATCAGGTTGGCATCTGCTGCTTGCACATGTATTACGTGTCGCTTTGTTTGGGTGCAAGATTTTTGAGTTGCCACACTGAATTTCTACCAAGTACCATGAAAAGTATTTTTCAATTTGTTATTATTATTTTTCAGGTGAATTAAGCTTGATATACCCATTCAGGCACGAATTATTACTAACTCTCTATAAATGTCTAAATTTTGCACAACATTCTAAGATACTCAAAAATTCATTAAAAAAAGAAATTTAAGAAATAGGTTGTTTTTGGTCAGCTTTGCTAATAATTCTAGATTTGCATATGTTTAAATATTTAATTCTTCTGTAGTTTGTAATGTTCGATTTTTACACATAAAGTTTAAAATCTATGGCCCAAATTGCACGTGCAGTTTGTTTTTGGCTGTTTTAATTCATTTTGAGCAAAGGAAAATAATACTTATAAAGTTGGTCCTGGAACGCGGCACATCAAGCGGCCCGTTGAACATCGAAGTGCTTTCACTAAAATAATCAGCTGCAGATTTACTGAGCACATTGGGGTTAAATCAAAACGCGCTGACTATGTAGAAGGTTCGATTCGTCTTATGCTCAATATATCTTGCCCTTCTTTTCTCACTGGTCCAAGAAAGTGGCAAAAGTAGGTTGCACCCACATGTGTGGACGCTGCGCCTGAAGGGGGTATTCATTGACGAATCTTTTTTGCTTTCTTAAAAGCCAAGTTTCGTATACATTTACAGTACTTACAAATTCAAACGTGACATCAAATTTATTACAACAACTGTTATGCGCAACTAGTTGAAACAACCACGTGACATTGATCTACACGTTCTCTGAATTGCGCCTGTACGACCCCAACTGGCAACTGTGGAAATGATTGTATGTTTTACTTACCCCCGAATTGTCCTCTTTTATTCTGCGGGTTCTGTACACCAATATTTTCAAAGGGAATTTTATTTATTTTGTGACATCTATTTTAATTTCTTATTTTGTTGTAACACTACAAGTATACAGACTGCACAGACTAGTAGATAATAAAGTTCACTGTTGTTTTATTCTATTTACTGTAATTATTTATGGCTTGATTAGGCAGTAATTCATGTGCAGGTTGCAAGTCTTGCCTTCTTATCTTTTTTGTGTTTTTTTGTCCAAAGCCTTAACATTACTTCAGCTCATTTTCTCTTAAAGGGGCCTTGCAACACTTTTTGAGCATGGTCAGAAAACGCTGCCAATCGGTAGTAGAGGCTCGCGACAAAAGGGGAGCTAAATATTAAAGCACAGCACGCAGCCTGGAATTTACGATAAATTATCAGTCAGCTAAAAATTGCTTTCTCGTCTCTAAACAAATCACGTTGTATGCCCCAAAGTAACACGTCAACGACCCATTTATCAGCCATTGGCTGATTTGAACATGGCACGCTCAGTCGTTACATAAATCGCCGCAGGAGGTCGCTACTGGTCCACACGTGCGCGTGCGATCACACTGAAAAAGTTGCGCATTCGAAGAAAAAAAGTGCTCAAGGTCGCCAGGCACGCGTGGCATTTTTCTCTGGCTCTGCCATTCCTCCCTGCTTAGCTTCCAGCGCTTTTGTCGGGACGAGAGAAGAGAGAATGCAATTGCAGGATGCGACAAATTTTTGTAACTCCACTCGCACTGGACGGATTCTTAAAATTTTACAGCGTAGAATTGGAGAGGCAATAAGCTCTTCTAGAGAATTCATTCCATGGTTACTTGAAAAAGTGTTTTAGGGCCCCTTTAATGCTGTGAAGCCTATAGTTCAGTGACCACTGTATTTAACACTTTAGCTGCATTGGAGATAAGGTAAAACGCAAAACATTTTTGTCATGTTTTATGGATTACTAAACCGTAGTACTACAAGAGCATAGTTTCTCAACTTGGAAATAAAAATTAAAATAATGAGTCTTCAATTATTTTTGCCCCAGAAAGGTAGTGTTTGGTTCTATGGTTCTAGCTGCTCATGCAACTGAAGCACCACACGCATGTGGGACAATTAGTATTGTAGACACATCATACTTCTCTACTGTATATACTTTCCAGGCTATAGAACTGGAAAAGCTAAGCAGCCGAAACCTTAATATTATAAAGTTTGTTTGTTTACTGAGGAAGTCAGGGAAAGTTTATCTGCAAATATTCACGTGCAATAAACGATGTATTATGTGCGAATTGAAATGTTCAAGTCTTCATGCTCAATCATGAGAAGAGAGCTCAAAGGAGTTTCTAAACAAGACTAGGAGCTTAGAGCGTGCATACATGCATGCCTTTTTTCAATGTCCATCTGTGGGCCTTATCTGTGTGGTATCTTGTGTAGGCCGACACTTATAGAAATGCTGGCACAGTCATTGCGACAGGGCAGGTTTTGTTAGTTCCATGGGAGAATGCAATAAATGTGGCCGAGGTGCGTTCATCTGAAAGAGTATTCTGTAACCACCGTCTGATCCCGACCCTATTCCATTGCGCAACATATTAGAAGCTAGCTAGCACATTGTTAAAAAATATTATTACTGAAGCTCTATTCTTGATAGCAGTAGCAAGTAATTTTAAAACACTGAGCCAAACACTCAATCTAGTCATAGGTATGTTTTACCATTCGTATAGCATTACAATATCCTTTTTTTTTATTAGGACAAGATTTGCCTTCAAGACATATCATTTTTGTTAAATGTGTGCTGTTAACCGGTGTTGTGTATGAAGTCTTGTAGAATCTGTTTTCATCTATCCAGCGGTTGTAACTGTCTGTGTCACTGTAGCGAAGGCCGGCTTGAAGGAGGTGACCGAGTGTTCTAGCTGCAACCCTTTACATGTCCATAAAAGGTGGTATGTATCTGCGTGCACCGCTGAAGTGGGACAGTATTATTAAAATATCGCTCTATGAACGTATGAGCAAGGATATGCATCTTGTATGCCTGTTTAAATTGTTCTTTCTTGCTCTTTGTAGTGTCAAGTTTGGCACAGAGACCAATGCTCTTTCTGAAGAAGAACAGGTGAGCTAAAATATTTCAAATGCTTCAATGCATTGTTTGTTGAAATTGCACCATTTGTTGCAGGCCACTGCTTCAGACGTGGTGACTGCATTGGCAAACCGAATACCACCATTCCCATTCAAAGTTGCCAAGGCTTTGGACCCAACAATCTATAGAAACGTCGAATATGACATCTGGAATGAAGCAGAAAAAGGTCTGTTATGTTGGTTGGAGGTTTGGCTCTAACTTATTAGAGAGGAAGACCCTAATATGTTGATGTTGGTACAGCATATTGGATGCTTGATTACTCAATGTTGATCAGACACAAGAGGGTGTGTTTTCTCTTGTGTTGCATCAACAATGCCAAGACACGTGAAACTCGACAAGTTACCTGTTGCAACAGCTTAGTGGTTATATCTTCCTACTGCTCATCGTAATCTTTTAATCTTGCTGCAATCAGGATGGCGTGCAAGAAGTTCACTTTACAGAATAGTTGAGGCATAACACTCCACTGCAGGGTCTCTCAAACTCCCTGTAGAGTTCAGCACGTACAAACTCATCATCACATTGTGGCTTGTTATGCTATCAGCCTATTGAGGCATGTTATGCCTTAGATCAAAGGTCATATAAAAGACTCTCCAAATTCTTATTTGTTCTTTTGTGAATCGGTCCTGGCAGTGTTTGTGTCATTATCAATAATGTATGTTTTTAAAAGTTTTCTTTTGTTAAGTTTATCTATTGATATTCTAAACTTATTTTACTCAAAGCAGCCCTCCACGAAGGCCTCTCTTAATTGTGTCATGGTTTTGGAATGTCATACCCTAACAATCCCTGTTACAATAGACCCTCATTAAATAAAACCTGAAGGGACCAGGGAAATATATTAAGTTTAACAAATTGAACAGGAGTTCCATTTACTGAGCATCTACTGTGTTAGGTCTTCTTGCAAGCTTTCTTTGACCTCATTTCTGCATTCAGAAGTAGTTTGTGTTATCCTGAATGAAAGCTAGATAATTAGGTCGTTAAATTTCTCTCTTGAAGCAGCAATTCTGTGAATGCACCTGAGACATCTAGGCTCATCAAGCTGGCATGATAGCAGTTTAAATGAATTGATATATAGCACTTGTAATTTGTGTTTTTGCTCTATTGATAACATAGTCAGCCTAATCGTTTAGAAAATCAAATGAGTACAAAGTATTGGGTGCTGTCAAGCCTATGTTGATCCGTCAAAATAAGCAACTGTAGAAAAAGAAAACAGAAAGAGGGCTGTAGAATCCAGTACCTTAAAGAAACACTAAAGCCAATTATTAAGTCGACATTGATTGTTGAAATGGTGGTCTAGAGACCTCGTAGTGTTACTTTTGTGCCAAGGAAAAGCCTATTTCGAAATAAAATCACATTTTAGTGTTCCGCATCAGGTTAGTGCACTTCAAATTAGGGGCCTCAAGAAGCGGATTGACCGGTTCGTCTTATGTCACTGTTACCATACACAACGTTGCCCGGCTTTACTGCGCTAGTAGCAGCAGACTGAAAGCAGCGGGAGCCACAGCAGCAACGGCCATTGATCAATTTCTCGCCATTGGCTTCGAGACCGCAAACGTTTTTGTTTCAACTGCGCCCCGCTAGATGACACCACCTGTCCCGTGTAACTATGCGGAAATTGAATGTTTGAATCACTTGCGCCATTCCCCATAGTAATGTCCGGCGATTCTTTTTTCATGAATCAAACAGAAACGAACAAGCAGCATTTTATTGCATCTCTTAAAGGAGCACTGACATCAAATTTACTCAGGCCAGGATTTTTGCGTCAGCGAGTAGCTATAGACCCCGTAGCAGCGATTCACGACCTAAAACGCAACTGAGAGATGAATAACTATCTCTTTTGTTGGTTTATAATACTGGGATCTAGCACTATTCAAAAACGGCTGGCAATCCCGCCATTTTTAGCGCTGGGAGCACCAGCAGTGGCGATACTTCGTGGTCACCTCCAGATCACGCCACAGCTGACCACCTCTCAACAGAAAGGAGTGACGTCAGGCTCAGCTGCTCCACAAACATTTTGTCTGCTAGGTGGACACACTCAGTCATGCCTAGTCACCTGCATTGCTGTCGTCGCCGTACAGAGTGACGACTCTGGTTCAATACAATAATCTAGGGCTTGGAATCCCCGTGATTCGCGACGTCATGAATTATTTTTGCTTCTATCGACTTTTTGTGGGACAGTCATTCCAAAATGGACGCTGTTCCAAGCAGCACTGCCAAGGTGCTCGAGGATGCACGCTTCAGCCATGTTTGCTCATGTGTCTCAGCTATTTCGGTGTGTTTTGGCATGCAAAGCATTCAGGTATACACAGAAGGGTCAATGCAATATAGCTATCGCGAATGAGCATCAGCGAAGAAATAGAATAAATTTCATGCCTGTCGGGTACTTTTTTGCGTCTCCAGATGGTCCCTCCTATCCAGCCTCTAGCGGTTACGTGGACGCAAAGTCTACAGGTGAACTAAAATTCAACGATACTTGCGTGTTACTTCTTAGCGATGATATCTGACTACTCGCTCTTCCACTTTTGACAGCTTGTGGTCGTGTTGATGTGTAACACATACGTGATATGAAAAGACACCCTCATTGCGCTTTTTTCGTGCTTCGAACTAGACGACTGCAACTCACCTGCTACTCACAACGATTCCTCGACACACTGACCGACAAGCACACGTTTAATCATGCTCCTTTCTTTCGCCATTCTTTTAAAGGTGGTTTTTATCTTGGTAATTTCACAAAATCATTCGAACCGGTGCAATGAAGATCAGACGCAACAATCCACGGTCAGGCTAGACTGCACCTGCGCGCGCTAGCCCGGCCGTGGACGAGCAAGTGCATTTCTGCACTTCGGCGCCAGGCGGCGCCACGATAAGAACACTCGGATCATACACATCATCGCTACTAGGGCATCGTCACTCAGGATGGTATTTGTGGAATGTATCACACCGAACACCTAGCACTAGTGTCGATGTCGCAGGGCAGTCTATTTTTCATTTTTTCTCCTTAGCTTTTTTATGCTGTTTGGCATCGAATTAAAATAACTTCCATGCGACGGATGCCGTTCAAATTTGGCCAAGAAGACCTATGCATACCAAGTGATCGAATGATGGGCACATCTCAATCTTGAAATTTGATGTCAGTGCTCCTTTAACGCACGGATTGTCTTTATTTAGTGCAGTTGGATGGATTACGAGAGCTTAACTGTAGGTGGTCCGTCTGATGTCATTGGGATCATTTCGAAAATGTCCTATTGCGGCGCTTGTGTTCCTGTGCACTTACTTTAATTTCTCGGTAAGTATAGCACTGTTTTGATAATGTTGTCGTTTTAGATGTTGTCATACATTGAGCTTTCACTCTGACGTAAATTGTTGTTTGACTTCAGTGTCCCTTTAACATTTGCATAGTTCTGTGTGTTCGTAGACTGGCTTAAATATTTGTGCCTCTTACACTTTTAACACACTTTTTTGCCGCAAGGTTGGTTAAAGTATGTGCAATAACATAGAATTGGCTTTATCCTCGTTTTCTTCCTTCAATCACCCACTGTTGTGTCTCCTTGTCATGACCATGAGTAGTAAGTCAAATGGATAAACTGCCCGTCTTCCAGCTATTTATTCTCCTAACCACCCAATCTTGTTTTTATTTTCAAGACTGTGCAGTGAATGTGTGGCAGTCTAGCTGTGTTTCTTTTTCTCTCCTCTTTTTTTGTCCTGTGTAGTTGGTGTGAATAATGTGACTTTGTCCCTCCCCTCATGTGATTACACTAGTGATATGATTTTTGGCGAGTATTTAAATGATTTTTAAAAAATAATAATGTGCTGTGTGTACATTATGATAATGTTGTTCATGATAACTACATGTACACATAAAATTGATTAATTTTTCTGCATTGTAATTTCTTTTTGGTCATTGTGATACATCAGCAATGTTTTTGGGGAACTAACTTAATCCATTGCTAAAATATTGTCACGGGGTCGTGACGTGGCCGAAGACAGGAGACGTTATGTTGGGATTTAACTGTTTATTTAAGCGAACCTGTGCCCGGCAAACGAAAAGTCCGATTACAGTAGCAGTCTTGCACAGATAGGAGGTGAACGGAGCGTCCCCGATGCTTTAACTAAAGATGAAGGTACAACAATAATGCAAGAAAGTACAATGAATAAATTACGATACAATAATAATACAAAAAACACTGTTTCAGTTTGTCAACGCGCATGAAACTGCTTGAGGCGCGCGACATGGACGACTTCAGGTCGCGATCGGCGTCGTTGAGAGTTCGTGATGCCGTCGGGGACAACCTCGTAATCAAGCGAGCCGAGACGTCGAACCACCCTGTACGGTCCGAAGTACCGTCGCAGAAGCTTTTCACTTAGTCCACGTCGGCGTATCGGCGTCCACACCCAAACACGTTCACTGGGCTGGTATTCCACGAAGCGTCGTCGAAGATTATAATGGCGGCTGTCGGTCGTCTGTTGATTCTTGATACAGAGACGCGCGAGTTGTCGGGCTTCTTCGGCGCGTTGAAGGTACTCACTCACACCAAGGTTTTCTTCGTCAGTGACGTTGGGTAACATGGCAATCGAACGTCGTTTGCCGGGCTCATTCCGTACGAAAGAATGGCGTCCCACGTCCCACGTCCTGTGTTCGACATCGACGTATATTGCCAGCATGTCGGCGATCGTCTTGTTAAGCCGCTCGGTGAGGCCGTTGGTCTGTGGGTGGTACGCTGTCGTCTGGCGGTGGTTTGTCTGGCTGTATGCCAAGATCGCTTGAGTTAAGTCCGCAGTAAATGCCGTTCCTCTGTCGGTGATAAGGACCTCCGGGGCGCCGTGACGTAGGACGATATTTTCGACGAAGAACTTAGCTACCTCAGATGCACTGCCTTTGGGAAGGGCTTTTGTCTCGGCATAGCGGGTGAGGTAGTCGGTAGCTACCACGATCCACTTGTTTCCGAAAGCCGACGTCGGGAACGGCCCCAGTAGGTCCATACCAATCTGCTGGAAAGGTCTGCAAGGTGGTTCAATTGGCTGCAGAAGTCCCGCTGGCCTTGTCGGCAGTGCTTTGCGTCGCTGACAGTCCCGGCACGTCCTCACATAACGAGTGAAGTCGGTGGTAAGACGTGGCCAGTAGTACCTTTCTTGTATCCTCGCGAGCGTGCGAGAAACACCGAGGTGCCCTGCTGTCGGATCGCCATGCAGGGCCTGCAGGAGTTCTGGTCGCAATATTGTGCACACTTCTGTTGCAAGAAAGAGTTTTCACCACCGTGTATCTGGGTCCTTGTTTCCTTCAATTTTAAATTTACCACTGAAAATGATGAAGCATACTAAATTTTCTTGCCCTACTTCAAATTATACTTTGATTCAGAAGTCCCTTTTAGCACTGTGGAGGATATAGGCCCCTCAGCCAATAGGAAAGGCGCTTAGACCCTCCACTTGTATTCATTCGTGCCATGTCGTCTGCTCACTGTATTCATGGCGGCTGCTCAACGAGTTGTGGTTATTATTGCTAGTTTATTTACTTAAAAATGCAGTAAAGCTACTAAAGCAGCAACTATACTGGCAACTTGAACAAGCTTGAATTTGTTGCTCTGATGAAGATCGGCAGAATCTCGTGCCGGCGGATATTTTCACTTTGTGGCTGTTTCTCTCCGATGCTGTTCATAGCTCTCATATGTATTATTCTCCATCGACGCGTTCCTTCGCATCCCCCACTGCAACGCTCCTTTTCTCTCTTTTTGTTTCCACCGAAAGAGGATCCAACACGCACGGAATGCTGTGCGAGGTTGCATGTTCGATATTTGGAGATGCAGCGTTCTTGGTCTGACGACGCAGTCCGAATGTTGCCTCGGTGCGTTAGGCTTAGCAGGTGCGGCTAAGCAAGCAGCAGATCGTGTTAATATCAACAAAACGTACCTGGCGCTTTAGTCCCAGAGTGAGATGAAACAAATTGATGGCTGATTTCTCCATTTGTTCACTAGTGTTAGTGCAGTGGGCGTGTAGCAAGAGCAACTCTGGATCGAAGCGGGCAATCACATCTGCATGGGTGCTGCCATGTTGATTTGTAAACACAGTTATCGGTGGTAACCCACACAAATAATTAAATGCGTAAGAAATAATTGAAATATAAATGCTAAAAAAACGTCAGGCATGCATGGAAGGTACAGCACAGTCACAGCAAAAGCTAGAAGAGTGGCTTTTCAGAGCCTTTCAGAACACTCATTCGGTAACTACTGCAAGCACACTTGCTTGATACCCACTAGGGCATTAATAATAAAATTCTTTTGGTAGTAGGTTGGCATTCGCTATTTTTCATCATTTTTCTTAGAAGCGTGGTATCCACTGAACACTTGCAAGGAATTTAGTGCGAATTTTTCAGGCAGTGGTTGACGATGATGAGGAATTATGGCTGAAGTGGGTATGTGCCACAGTTAATAGGGGAACAAGAACAAGCTTTTATAATGGGTTGGAGTATTGGACGACCCACTCTTTACTCTATTTGCATTGTGCGACGATTGGTTGTTCTTTCGCTGTTTTAAAACGCTTTATAATTCGTATTGATGCGATTGCTTTCCCGACATCAAGCCTGCCTGAGGCAAGTTTGCCAACAAGTCCCAAGCACCAGTGTGGCTCAGTGGTAGAATACTGGGCTGGCACTCAGCAGACCCGGGTTTGAGCCCCACTGTGTCATTGGTGCTAGTTTTTTTTTTTCTAATTTCGCATGATGTGGTTGTGGACACCCAGTGGCGGCATACAACTGTGCATGACCCGAGTTGTGATCTCATAACAGCTTTAGCTGTAAAAAATAAATCATCATGCATCGACTTGTCGTAAAATGCCAAAAAAACCCCAATTCTAGCCAACTCTGTAAATTTCAAGGCACTTGCATGCAAGACTACGTTTCGCTGCGTAAGCGTGTGGCTTTCTTACACCTCGTAGCTTTGGTAGTCCTGAACCAAAGTGGTGAAACAGAGTATAAGTGAAACCAGTCTTTGAGTGCCTGTTGTGATGTGCCATATTTGTACAGGAATTGTGATTGAATTGTAATGGAAGAGAAAAGAACAAAGTTGAATGTGTCACTTGCTTTTGATGCCGTGTTGTTATTCAGAGAATGTGACGCTTTTGATGCCATGTTATTATTCAGAGATTCTGTTTTGGGCTTTTCTTTTCCCCAATTTTTAGAGAGAATTCGCAATGAACAACTTGTGGTCCCAGACTTGGAACCTGGGGTTAAGTGTTTGGTGAGTTGTGCAGCAGCTGTCATTGCATTTCTTTGAGTTGAAGAATGGGATTCAATTTTGAAAGTTTCTGCAAAGTACCTCTCTTTGTAAGGACAGGCTGGCTGTAGTACGCAAAACAATTAAATTTTTTTTCCTCTCATACAACACTCAGCATGTCGGTGCTACAGAAAGGACTAAGGTCGGGCAGTCATCTCATGCAATGCGTCAAGTTTTGAATCGTCTGCTTCCATCACTAATGATTTCCTCGTTGTCCTCTATAGGCTTAGAGCACACAAAGTACCACATGCCATCTTCATATTTGGACTGATATGTTACGTCGGTGTTTCTAAAGTACACTTTCTGCACACGCTGGTCTTGTAATCAGAACGCGTGTGCAGCACTTTGATGTGCACCTGCTGCCTGCTGCGAGTTACATGAGAATTTAAGCTTAGCCTTGCGACTTATTTCTCAGCACTATTAAATTGTTACTTATATTTTGCAAGAAATAAAATTCAGTTCTGTATGCCCCACCTCTGTTTGCTTAAAGGGGTCCTGAAACACATTTTTGAGTAACCATAGAATGAATTCACTGAAAGAGCTTATTGCCTAACAAATTCGATGCCGCAAAAATGTTAAGAATCGGTCCAGTGTAAGTGGAGTTACAGAGCTTTGTCACATGTTGCAATTGTATTCTCCCTTCTCTCGCCCTGACGAAAGCGCTGGAAGCTAAGCAGGGAGGGATGGGAGGGCCAAACAAAGAACGTCACACGCGCCTCGTGGCCTTGAGCACTTTTTTTTTCTTTGAATACGCAGCTTTTTCAGTGCGATCACGCGCACACGCATGGGCAAGTAACGGCCTTTTGCGGCGATCTCTGGAACGATTGAGCGCGCCATGTTCAAATCAGCTAATGGCTGATAGACGGGCATTCTACGAGTGATTTTTGAGCGTCTTTCATCATTTGTCGAGGGAAGAGAAAGCAATTTTAGCTGGCTTTAATCATTTATTGTGAATTCCAGGCCGCGTGCTGCACTATAACATTTGGCTCGTGTGTTCTTGGGAGCCTCTACTAACAATCGGCAGCATTTTATGACCATGCTCAAAAAGTGCTGCAGGGCCCTTTTAAAGAGGCCCCGTGTAGCAGATGGTGCCTTACAGGAATGAAGTGCCCTTTATGATGCAGAGTGTATGACCATAGAAAAATATTGCCTGTTTGTTTTAAGTGTAGGGTTTTGTGTTTTCAGAGCTTTTCTTTTTTTAATTTGTAGGGTGTTTTTTTTTTAGAGTTTATCTTTGGATGAAATGTGGCACTTATAGGACGTCTTGTAAAGCTCCAATACTCCTAAATTCGGTGTTTAATATTGCCTTACAAGTTGTTGCAATGTCTTATTCATTTTAATTTCAGTAAAAATGTGTTGCATTATCACTGATAATTTAGTTTTTCTATCTTTTTATTCTTTCTCACTTCCTGTTCATTTATCCTGTTAGTGAGGCTGTTAATGCGCACTGTTTTCAACTCCCTCAAGTGTACTTTTTGGTGTGAAGGAGCTCGTCAAACTGCTCCACAGCTCTTTCTCCTAGCCTCACTCGTATTCCTAATTAAAGATACAGGACCTATTAGTTTTCTCAATACTCCAGGATCTTAAATAAAATGATATCTGAACACAAAAACATGTGAATACACTAAGCGTATGTTAGACGTCTGAAAGGTTTGAATGTGCAATCATACGTACATACAAGCACAAATATTTGAATACAAAACACCTAGGTTTATTCAGTATTAAAACATTAAAACTTGTAATAAAAGCAAGCATACATTACGAGGTTGCTGCCACTCATGCATGTGCACTCCTTTCGATTGACGATTGTGAGCTTTGAAGGTTCCCTTTTAAAATTGGATCTGATCGTATAAATCCAAATCGTCTAGAATTTTACTGGCTATGTTTATTCGATTTTTTCTAATTTGTCTAAAAACGCGGAGCCATATGTATGTATTGTGAGTTTCCCATTGATAGTGATAGCCTCCAAGATCAAAGACCGCATATGAGATTGCAGCTGTGCATATGATGTGTGTGCCATGCCATTGTGTAGGCGATCATGGTAGTGCTTATTATTTTTTTTTTTTTACTTCAGGAGCCACTACTGGTTGCAGCCCAGAACTTTCACAAGCAACTGAACTTTTGCAATTCTTTTTAATAGGTGCGACTGACTCGAGATTTGGAAGGCTACAGTGCATCGTTTCAAGCTCACATTCAGAAAATGGAGCCCGATGAAGGGCCCATCACAGTTTTCATTGAAAAATTGGGTGAAATGTGAGTGTGCAACTAGTTCTGCTTAGTGATTTAAATTAAAGTAAGAATGCTTTTAAAACATACTTGTTGCCCCGCCGCGGTGGTCTAGTGGCTAAGGTACTCGGCTGCTGACCCGCAGGTCGCGGGTTCGATTCCCGGCTGCGGCGGCTGCATTTCCGATGGAGGCGGAAATGTTGTAGGCCCGTGTGCTCAGATTTGGGCGCACGTTAAAGAACCCCAGGTGGTCGAAATTTCCGGAGCCCTCCACTACGGCGTCTCTCATAATCATATGCTGGTTTTGGAATGTTAAACCCCACAAATCAATCAATCAATCAATCAAAACATACTTGTTCTACTTTCCATTAGAAGATTTTGTTGCAGTGTCCATTAAAGATCCTTGCTCCAATCGTATTTTCAGACCAGGAAGGATTTTTCGGCGAGAAGTTTCTTTCTTAATAATGCAGCACAAGGCAACAAGTTTTGCTTGTTGCTTTGTGCTGCAAACAAGTGGTCGTCCACTCGGCTTCGGTGATTTTTTTAAAGGACCCTCACACCGAAATTGCAAACTCGGGATGTTTGTGTTTGTTTGATTGTCTTGCGTACGTGAGCACTTCTGAGTGATTACTAGTGATGAACGTTGGATACACAAGTCTGTGACTTTGCCTTATCACCGCTAGTATAACAAGGATAAAAGGACCCCTCGTTACATGAAGCGAATGAAGCATTTTTGACGTCACAGACCAATTTGTGGCGTGCGTACATTACCGCAACTGTTATTAGTACTCAACCACTAGCGTAGCCAGGTGGAGGGTTATGTGGGATTTAACCTTCCCCTTTCTCGAAAATTTTCGATTTTGCTTGTGTACATACAGTCCGACCCCTTTACAAGAGGCTCTGAAATAAGAGACCATAGGTATAAGAGGCACCAGAGTGCCTACAGTAAAATACGGGTTGATAAGAAAATGCATACTCCTTGCCGCCATTGTCTACTTGTTATGAAGGTTTCAGGATTGAATCCCGGCAGCTGCATTTTCGATGGAGGCGAAAATGTTTGAGGCTCGTGTACTTAAATTAAGGGCACATTAAAGAACCACAGGTTGTTGAAATTTCTGGAGCCCTCTACTACGGCTGTCTCTCATAATCACATCGTTGTTTCGGGACATTAAACCCCAGATATTGCTGTTAAAAGAAATGTATACAAGGTACCCTGCTTACAAGAGACATCTCATATGAAATACAAGAATTGCTGCCTGGAGCACGTCTCTTAAAGGCGTTCAACCGTATTCATATGTATACACATACCAATGTATGCACAATTAGTACACATAAGTATTGTTGAATCACGACCGCTCGCCGCTTCATACTGAAATAATACATAGAAGGACAAAAACAAAGTGCACAACATTAGCGCTTGTGGAGCGCACACATTACCACGACTGGTATCGGTACCCAACCACTGGTGTAGGCAGGTGGGAGGTACACCAGCTGCCTTTGCTGCATTTTACTTCAATTTATGCTAATTCACCGAACCGGAGCCATCTTCTCCCCCCTACCCCCCCCTCTATTGGCTGTCAGGTTGCTCACAAGGTGTTTCTCGCTTCTTACACTAGTGGCATTTTATGTACCATATAGCAAGCAATGTTTTCTTTTTCTTTTTTTGAGGGGGCACATTCAACACTCTAGTGTGTGTGAGATAGGCTGGTGTGCTGTTTGTTTCAATGTAAACAGAAATTTTAGCAGAAGAATGTGCCTATCGCATCATACCCTAACTGTCTACCATACCTTAACTGATATTGCAGTGCTAACATTGTTTTGTTCTCTCCCGAATATGGCGATCCGATTAAAAAAATGCATTCTAAACATCACCATAGTTTCAATGCACATAATCCTATGGCACTTCACTCTGACGGGGTGCTTGTTTTTATGATTATAGGTAGTCGTTTTAAAAGTGACACTAAAATTACTCGTAACTAATGATGCTAACATTTATTATGCGTTATGTTAGAGCATTTATGATTCAGTTTCACAGTTTTCAGATGCAGAGATGCTAATTAAAGCATTAATGGCACATATAAAAGTTTGACTATTAAAGGTTCTATAAACAAACAGACGAGCTGAAAGTGTTTCAAGGCATAAAAATTAATCTGGGATTGCAGTCATCTGCAATAATAATTCTGTACACCTCTTAAGCTGCAATAAAAGCAGGTCACTGGAAGGATGAATGCCATCGTTCGTGTATACCACTTTGTGAGATACACAATTTTTATTTTAAGTAGTAATTCATGTCCTTACTGGCACCAGAGAAGAAATGTCAGTCTAAGACTGTCCAAGTTAATGACAGTAGAGTTAATGAAGTTTTGCTGTATTGCCAAATGAGTTAGGGGGCACATTATATTTTTCATTCTCAACGGTTAAATCTGTATTCAGCCAAAGTTTGAGTGGTGGAGTTGAAAACTAGGGAGACTCACTTGGCTGCACGTAGGTAGCATGGGCCTTGGTGACTGATGTCATTCATGCTTCCTTCTGTTAAATGGGTGGATGAATAGTTAGGCACTTTTTGACAGCGTTTTCTGCAGGCCTACCCACAGTCTAAAGTATTAGAATATATTTAGATTCATCTGTGTAATTTTGGTGGCTGCACTTACTAAAGGATTCATTGCAAAGAGATGTTAAAGCTCGTGGACACAGTCCCAAGAATAAATAAATAGGTAACTGCATACACCACGTTTTTTTTCTTTTATGAATACCTGCCAACTAGCCTTACTTTCTGTAGGTGCAAGTTGCTATAAATGTTTGCCACCATTATTTTTTGTCATGCAGGCATGTCAAAAGTTATATTAGTGTGCATTGGTTCTCAATATCAAAGCTAGAACTGAAAGGGGATGAAATTTCTGTGTCTTTGAAGGTGCACAGTTCCATACAGCAGCGTTCAGGCACTGCCTCTACCAGCTCACAAAGGTAAGGATGGCACATTTGTGACCCTACAGCACACAAGGTGGCACTGCTAAACCTCATGATAATGAACACTGGTATGGTTAATTATCCATAATAGGGAACTAAACACAAACCTTTATTTTTGCACAGATCCTAAAATTGCTGTTGTTTAGTGCTTGGAAATGAGGGAAGGGGTCAAGGTCCCAATTTTTATGGTCCACTGTATAGAATCGAACCGATGCTTAATTGCACTTAATTTCTGCCTGCAGTATTGACTTGGCGCCAAGGACTACAGTACAAACTGCAAAGCTCCTTCTACCAGAGTGCGTTGCTGTCCAGCCTTCCAGGTGATGCTCCTGTGGTTCCCTTAAATGCTATCTCTTTTCTTCATTGCCTGTTGTGCCATTCATATTAGCCAGCCAGGAGCAGTTTTGTGCCATTGAATGTGATGTCATGTGATTTCACTTACGGCAGCAACAGTAGCTTGAATATAAAGCCGCACGGCTTTGGCACGAAGCATGGTACTCTGGTTGGTTGCGACCAATAACCTTAGCAAAAGTACTCAAGTGTATGAATTTGAGACACCATGCATTGATTCAGAACACTATAAACCAGTGCACTTATGGGTTCTGCAACACTTGTCAAGCATAGTATAAAAAACTCTGCTGATCGGTAGGTAGTCAAGGCACTGGGAACATGCGAGGCAAATATTGAAGTGCAGCATGCAGCCTGGAATTCACAACAAATTCTCAGTCAGCAAAAAATCGCTCACTGGTTTCTTTAAAAATGATGCTATATAATAAACAATTATTGTGTTGTATGCCCAACTGTCATGCCAATGGCTGACTTGAGCTCGGCACACCCTATAGTTGCTCAGGCCACCACAGGAGGCCGCAACATGTCTGCACATGCACACATGATTGCACTGGAAGGTTTAGCATTCGAAGGGGGGGGAAAAAGAAAGAGAAAAAGTGCGCCAGGTCACGAGGCGTACCTTCTTTCCTTGTGCCATCCCTCCCTGCATAGCTTCCAGCACTTTCGTCGGGACGAGTGAAGTGGTAAAGCGATTGCAGCGTGCGACAAATCTTTCTAACTGCTCGTACCGGATGGATTCTAAAACTTTCTGCAGCATTCTGTTTGCGAGGCAACAAGCTCCTTTAGTGAGTATATTCCATGGCTGCTTGAAAAAGTGTTGCAGGGCCTCTTTAAGATTTTGTCACTATACACAGCATTTTTAGTTAGTTTTAGTTTGACCTGGGAGACGGAGTGTATAAAATTACAGAGCAAAAGTTTAAAGTTTACTATAATTAGAGCACATCAACCGATATAACAAACTTCTAAACTTAAGGGGAGACACTGGCCTGAAATTTTTTTTTTTAATTTTCAGTATTTCCAGCTGAAATTCTAATACAATATGTATTTTTCACAGCTGAAAACAAATATGCAATTAGTTTTTTGCTATCACTTTTAGATCTTTAAATATTGACTGTTACATAAACTTGCATTCTGCCCAGCCTTTTGACATCTTCCTCATAAAATATTGCTACAAATTTGATATGACAGCATTTCATGAAGGCCAGGGAGTGCAACAAAACCATAATTTTATTTTTAGCTTCATTGGTACCAGAGTTATGGCCTTAACAAGTATACTCATTAGAAATCTGAAACTGTTGCTTAAGTTTGTTGCTAATTAAATCATTATTGTAAATGAAAATATTACATTTTTTTGGTTTTCTTGCACTAATCAATGTATAAGCTTTCAAATGCTGCAAGAATTATTAAAATCCAACTGCTACATCAAAAGATACTGTGGGCAATGGCTTAGGGTGCGATGAAAAATGTTGTTTTGAGAAAACGAGAAAAGAAGTTTAGGAACATGCTGAGCACTTATATTTAACAAGAAAAGGTGTGAATCGGTGTATTAACCATGTTAGAAGCCACCAGGAATGTAGTCATCATCACTCTCCTTGGTGCGCTTTCTTTTCATGGCTTGCTTGAAGTTTTCAGCATGCTCATGCTTCTTCTCCGATGCCACTAGTCGGCGACTGTCCTTTTCTGAGCATCTTTCAGCAGCCACAACACTCTGCTGCAGGTGCAGCTCCTTCAATATGGCGGCATCTGCTCTCCTTTTGCCAGCGTTGAACCTTGCGACAGCTTCGGCCGCAGCAGCTTCAACGGTGAAAAGCGACGCGTGTTTGTTTTTGGACACGAGCGACCAGATGACAGAGTGCAGGCTCTCATTTGGGTTCTGTGTTTTGCCTCGCTGACAACGCTCCAGCAATTTCTTGTCAGAGAGGCGCCTGTAAATAGGCCGCAAGGCATCAACCACATACTCCGGCAGGTTGTAGCGATGATTCGGAGGAGTCTCCTGCTTGGCAACAGCCTTGTACTTGCATCATGACTCTTCACCAGTTGGGCAGTGAGAGTGCTGAGGGCTTACATCAGTAGATGCTACGTGATAAAAGGTTGCCCAGACAGCATTATTCATGGCCTCAATGCTTCCTTGGTTGCTTTGTAAAGCCCATCCATAGTATGACGTGAGCTTTGTGACCAGCTCGCCTGTCAGTTTGCCCTTGCCGCCAAGGCTTGGCTTTCCTTCGGCTCTTTGTTTTTGCAGGAGGTTTCGAAGTGCTGTGCCCATGCGCTTATGCACATGGTTGACACAGTCCTCTTTGTCTATTGGCCCGAAGCCATATACCTGTGCCTCCTGCAGACTGTTGAAGGCCCGGCTGTCTCCATCACACAAAATGGTTGTGTAGCGGAGCCCATTACTCTCCAATGAGCGGCCAAATAAAATGTGTGCTGCTTCCACCTCCATTTGTCCTGGCTTACTGGAGGTATTCTTTTGGCAAGTGTGACCAGCTAGCCACTCGGCATACCTTGGGTTGTCCTCCTTCGGCCCTAGCTGGCAGCCCAAACAAAAGTTCGATAGGACGAAGAAGTCGAGCACATATCCCGTGAATATTTCAATCAGGGTCCCTACATAAATATGGGATGAGTGGCCCCTGGTCAGCCAAGTTCCATCAAAGGAGACGGCGATATTTCCAGGATTTCTATAGTTGAGTTCGGAATACACCGTTTTCACGGTGCTCGCGCAGTCATCAATAACGCGCACGGCAGCCTTTCAATTTCACATAATCTTGGTATGTATTGGTGTGCAGGCCTCTCCGTGAAATATTTAGGGCGGAAAAAATATCGTTGAGCGCAGTTTGCCCGTTTCCTGTGCTCATTGCCGCGCGAGCCGCGAGCACGTTAATTTCGAAGGGGCCGTGCGCTGCGTCGCCCCTGCTCTCGGCGAGCTCCATACGGTCCTCAGTTTACCGCACTTGTCACATGTGAGAACAAGTTTCGCGGCTATGCCATATTCGCGGTCTTCCTTGGAGATTCTGCCAGTCCCGCCACACACACCGCACTTCATACACTGAAGAAGTTCATTGACCAACTCTAAGCTAACAACGGTGAATGGCGTACCAGGCGTTGCGGCTCCATCCGAGTCTCGAAAAAAAGACTGCTTGCATTTTGTGGCAGACTTCGATGAAAGATCTTGCAGAACATCGCTCGCACGACACTGGATGGCCACTTTTTCAGCGTCGGAAACCAGGGGAGTGTCGACGCGCACAGCTCTTGTGTGATCTTGGGACGCGGCTATCGCGGGTGCCGCGGCGGTGATAGCGCTGATACAGCCTACTTCTACCGAGTTCTCGGCGGTAGAAGGTCTCGCTGGTTATAAGGTGCGGGCTCTCGGACGCCGTTTTCGCCTTTTTCCGAACGCATGAGCACTCCAAAACTTCCGATGATCGCCTGCCATTGCACCGAATGCACAGCCGTTGTTAGGCCTCTACGCAAAATGTCAGCTTGCACGCCTCTGTCTAGCAGACGAATCCCTTCGCGTCCGATAGGAAACCGGGAACTGCCCCACGTGACAAAAACGCACCGATGATGTGCGAGTATTCAGTTTTTCTTTATGCGCGATAGCTGCATTGTTGCTAGATGAAAAACATTCTTCTGCTAGGAACAGATATTAGAAAAATGCGTCTTTAAAATGAGACCAAAATGGCCGCGCTACTTGGTGCCGTTCTCGCGTGCTGCGGCGTTGAATACGACCGTTTTTAAGGATGGTTTCGGAACCGAAAATGGTCATCAAACTGACTTTGCGACCCAACAACTCGACAAATACGCATTACAGGGCTATAATATTTTAGGAACAGCTTCCTTAGACCTTAATGATTATGAAAAAAAAAATACTTCAAAAAATCGGTTTTTCGGAAAATTTTCGGCCTCCCATACCCGTGTCTCCCCTTAAGAAATGAATCGATGTGAGGGTAGTATGTTCATTGAACCTTGAATATGGGCTTCATGATGGCGCAGATTTCTGCTGCATGCGGTTTATATAGGTTTATTTGTTCATTGCCAATACTTACAAAAAATTTTTGAATAATGTAAATTATAATCAGATAGGTGAATTGAAATGATGTATCATTCATTCAAATATTCAAAGTGCTCAAATATTTGCACAGGCTTAAGGCTGAAGATTTTTTTCTAAGCCTGTATTGAAATCCTCTACACTAATACGTTTGTAGATGAGCAGAATACTCGTCCACCCAGTTTTAAAATATGCCGTAAATATATGGAACCCATTTGCTGAAACCGACATTGCAAATTGGAATGTAGCACTTGTATGTGCATATGAGTGGTGTGTGTGTGTGTGCACATAATTTTTTCTTTGCCCATATTGTTGTGTGTGTGTGTGTGTGTGTGTGTGTGTGTGTGTGTGTGTGTGTGTGTGTGTGTGTGTGTGTGTGTGTGTACTAGTATTTTAATTTAATGTGAACCAATATCAACTTTTAAATTACCATCGTGCTGAAAATCTAGAAGTTTACTTGGAAGAAGTTAAGTTCATCTAAATATGTCAGGCTGCTCTTTAATCAATAACCCAGTATCTGAAAGCTGCACACCTTCTATAACAGATTGAAATCATGTATATAGTCTAAAATTCAAAGGTCACCTTATTATGTATTAAATAGGTTACGCTGCGAGGCACAAATGCGCACGCACGCGTGCACACGCACACACACACACACACACACACACACACACACACACACACACACACACACACCACTCTAGATGTCACCCTATTTACTACATTTGTCAACTGCTTCAATAAGCATGTTTGCTCTGGTTAATACTGTTCGGCGTTTTTTTTTTTGTCTTTTTCTTTGTTACGACTGATTGACCATTAGATTTGAAAATGATTGCAATGACATTGCTTGAATTTTTATTTTGTTCAAGTGCATGAGTGAATTGAGTGTAGCTCAGCCCTGTTATTTTGTCTGCTTTGCCCACTTACGTATGTACCATGCTGTCAAGATGTATAAACTTGCAGTATCTATAACTCAAAAAATGACGAGTGCTCTTTTTGTTGTCACCCCAATTCGCACTTGTATATGTTGACATATGCATGAGTGGGCTTAGTGTTGAACAACCGCTCTGAAAGCTGTTGGGTTCTGTAACCTGTCTAAATGAGTTTTTTACTTAATATCAGTCATTTGTGGCGATGCCTTGTTTCAGATATTCAAAAGTCGCACCGCAGACTTGCACGCAAAGGAAAAGGAAAGGTGAGCTTTTCAAACCTGTTTGTATATATCCCCTTATTGTAGAAATTATGGACTGTCTGTGAATGTGTAAACTTTACACAGATTTATGTTATTCCAAGGCCCTTCATATTTTATGGCAATAAACAGAAGGTTGCAATATATTATTTTGAGCAGTTTTTAGATATTAATTTCAATTAGTGCATAATTAAATGCAGTGGTAGAACAGCTGCATCATTTGTGCCATTGTGCTTCAAACTTGTTTACCTGTGCCATACTAGTCTATCAGTGCCACACTGCACCACAGCACCAAAATTTAGCTGCAAGGTGCGAAGGCCATCAAGTGCCATGCCCGTAAAAGTGGTCAAAACATTGTCTTTTTAATTTCATCAAAATGGTTATAGTTTTGATTTGGTAAACGCTGTGATTGCTCCAGCAGCAGCCATGAACTTTAATTATAAGGGTGTCGTTGTGATTGCTATGTGCATGCGATCTCAGCAGGCATAAGCGCAAATGGCTCGTGAACCCTCCTACATGCCGCGCTCTCAACACGAAGAGACTGCGAGAAGAGCATCTCCCTCTCGCGCGGCTGTATTCTCTTACACTGGCATTTTGTAAAGTTATGCAAAAAACTGTGATTTACATTGCATATTTCTGTGCATTATTATAAATTCGCTGAATTTTTTTGTTTGCCTTCAAAGACCCCCTCCCTTGCCCTCTGATTTGCCATGAGGGCCTCATCATGTCGGCCTAATGAAACTCTGCCCTCCGCCTCCAAAAGTTGCCGACCTCTGGTCTAGCAAATTGCATTTTTTAATTTTTGTTTTCTGCATAGTGTTGGCATTCATTGAACCATTAATTCTGACAGATGTTTTATAACTGAGGTTGGTATTTTAGCTGATTATACCATACGCCATCTTAAGCGTTCGCTTATTCAATAGCGAGGCTACTGGGCCTCTTGGAGACAATGGGAATGGCGGTTTGTCCCTTCACATGTATTCAACTGTGCTGCTTCACGTCCTGAGTGCTTCCACAGCATCAGCTTACTGTTCTGTCAGTGCATGCTCAGCGTTGCTAATGTGGCTGGTTTATTTTTTACATAAAAATACAGAAAGACTGTGAAACATGGAGTTGCGTTCGAAGCATGACGAAGCGTGTCTACCTTAAAATTACCACCAACAGAGCAATTTTACACTAATGTTTCAGTTTGAGGCTGTTCACTTTGAAACTTTGAAACTGTTCACTTTGTGGCTGCCACAGTATGCTAAGTCAGTTTAACAACAATGCCTTTTAGAAATGTTACCTAGTTTAATTTGGATTCACATTGTGAACTTTCATGCATGTTTATAAACCTTTGTAGTATGTGAGAAGTGCCTGAATTCTCAACCGTTTTTGGTACCCAGAGTGTTTCTCCTTTACACTGGCATCGTCATCAAAGCATGTGTCCTTTTTTGGACTGGCAATAACAGGTTGCTGGTTGTTGATAAGGTTGTGAATGTTTTCCATTTCCCACGTCTTCTCTTACTGAATGGCATGCTTAACATTTTTCCACTTACGGATCTTAAGATGGTATCCTCATAGATCTAGCTTTTTAAGTTTAGTATGAACACTTGGTTTATGAAAGCCAAAAATTACATGAAAGCTCTAAACCAGTTGAGAAGGGTATTGCTGGCAATGATGTGGTGGCAGCCTTCAAATCTAGTGTCCAGCAGTGTAAGCAGGCCCGTATTATGCGTCGGATCCTGCAGTGCTCTGTTCACTGTATTATGTAAGCAGCCATAATGCCTTTCCTGACATCCTTTCTTTTTTTATTTTGCTTCCTCTGTCCCTTTCCCTGTCTACAGGTTAACCAACCGTATGTATGCCTGCTTACTCACATTTTTTTCTCTCTGCACTCTCATTTCTTACTTGGATGCATTTGAATGTAGTCATGCAACCATTGCTGTTGAAGAACTTTTGTGGTCTACTTTTTGCAACAAGCTAATTATTTATATCAATCACAGATTTTGTGGGCACTTCCTTGGACATTTATTTTCCTAATAAAGCCTTTTACAGGTGAACATAAACAGAAGCCACATAACAAGGCACATGGTCATGTTAGCACTCCACTCTGTGTTGGTGCTGCAGTAGGCATGTCTCTTTATGAGGAGAAAAATGGCATTCTCCTCTCTAATTAAGACATGCCACTAACAATAGATAGTTTAAAGCACAATAAATAAGTAGTTTTTAAAAATGTTTACAGGTGTATATATTGTTACGGTTAAGGTTGAAGGATGTTAATAACAGACTGAGGTTGATGATCGGGCAATGATGGCATCGGTAGGCGTTACCAGTTTACTAATTCCTCCTTTTCTCCTTCATCAGATCATACTCGTTGCGATATTTAGGTTTATCGAGAACACTAAGCAATAGCTAGATCGCTGACGTATTTTGCAATGCCATTTGTTTTGCTTTTTCTAGTCACTGGTGCTGTGTACATGACTTTAAAGGAGGAAGCTTTTTGTATTGTGTACAACTTCAGTATATCGGGTGTGACATAATCTGTATGGCATTTTGATGCTAATTCGTCCTATTTAGAGTCAAAACTCCTTTCTACACTTCTCTTATTTTCTGGGTCAGGAAAGTACAGTACTAATATTAGTTATTTTAATTTGTAAACGTGTGATTATCTGATAGGCCTTCTCATGTGTCATTGCAAATGATCGGTTAATAAAGAAGCCATGTAATGAACAACCATCGGTTTAAGTAATCACTTAACGGTATTACTATGTTTTGTCTATTCTACTTTAGCCTGCAATATGAGAGGAAAAATGTTTCTAGTCTTTCTCTTTCCCACTTATCTCATGATACATTGAAGCTGCCTTGTGTTGAGCTGTGTTCATTTCGAAAAGTGTTTGTGCACCGCCCGATTGCCTTGCCCTTTCTTGTAGGACCTCTCTCTCTGGCTCCCTACACTGGTCACTGGAGCGCGTATGCCCATGGACTTCTCTCTCCCAAGGCCTTCCGATGTCACTTGCACATCTCCTCATGCGCTCAGGGGGAACGACCTTCTTGCAGTTGACAAGTGAGTGGCCATGCTGACTTTGGTGTACTTGTTACGGTATAAAGTGGTTTCTCCTCTACTTAATTAAAATATTTAAATACTACCTGCAAAATTTTCTCTCTGTGGCTAGATGTCGTGATTGAGGGCAATGAAGTAGATACGAAGAGTTTGGAAATGCAGGCAAGGGTGGTTAAAAGCTTGCTGGGGTGATGAAATAAAAAAAGTTCAAGCACAACCTGGTATCAGCTTGTGCAGTACGGGGTGAATTGAAAATGATTGAGATAAGTTTCCATTTCGCAGTGAACACTAATGTAGGCTGACGATGATGAGGTATAAAAAGAAGCAAATACAGCCTGCTCATCAAGTTGTCATCACCGCGTTAACCTTTTGTGAGTGCTTTTTTTTTCCCCCAAACGCAACCTCAGTAGGCATACTTTTTAACATGAAAGTGTTTTATGCTTAGCAAATATATTTCTGTCAGGAATATGACTTAAAGTTTTCGCTTTATATTTATAGTCTACAGAGTTAACTTTTTGCAGGAAATTACTTAGCTTTGGGCGAGTGACAGTGATGTTGCAAATATTTTTTATGGTTTGGTTGCGTTGCTTATTCATGAATACTATAAATTGAAGGAAAAAACAAACTGATAAAATTTTGTGTTGACTTCTGTTGACCTAGATATTACTTTCCTGCGTGCACATTTATATCAGGCTGAGGTTCCCCTTGAGCCCCTCATTACCCGTGGACAACAGCCAGGCGATTTGGAGTCCCCCTGCACCTTTGTTGCCACCTGGCAGTCCTTCCCAGTTTCCTCAGGTGTTTTCTTTTCTGTTTTTTCTCTTTTATTCCTACACATTGAAGCGTGAACATTAACCCACTTCTCATGAGTTTACGGAGTCTGAAAATATTGCAAAGCACTGTTATCTCTCTACCATGCTGTTAGGTTTTGTACAAATGATGGAGCAATTCAATTGGAAAGGTTTGCCTTCTGATGAGTTCATTGAGATGCAGTGGTCAAAATCCAACTGATGTTAAGCAACCATCAAGAAAGAATTGCTAAATCAAATGGGATGAACATTTGGCCTGATGGATGAGCAAGGGGCAAGGGAACTAAGTATGCCTCACTATTGAGGCTTTATTCTAGTTCTAGCCAGTTAATTTCACTTCACTGACCGGCAGCATATTTGCCATAGCTGTATAAAAAAAAAAAAAGTGCAGGGGACTATGGAAGCTTGAAAAGATAAAAACTTTTAATACTATTCGTCACTTGAGCCGACATATCCATACCCAGACTTGTCTTCTTCAAGGCTGCAACTAGTTGCGTGTGAAACACATCAGTAATGTGTCGGAAAAAAATAGAAATTATTTCAAGCCAAAAACATTCAGATAGTGCTTTAAAAGGGGATATGTGCTGGATGTTATCATGAAGGTCTAGATAGATCATGCTGAGACAAGATCACTGAGTGAATCATGTGGGCTCAAGGCCCCGGCAAGTACAGTGAAATCTTGGTAAAACGAACCCCACATTAACGAACTTTTCAGATTAACGAACTTTTAAAAAATCTCTTGCCAACTGTTAATAGTTTCAATGTAAAATTATATCACTACTACATACTTCAGAATACCCAACTTTTCAGAATAACGAGTGTTAATTTAGTTCCACATTATATTAACAACGCCTCAGTACTACGAACTTATGTTCTGAAAACCGACGCGACCACAGGTGCTCTATGCGAGCAGATGACAAAGCGAACGGACTCCTTGCTTCTCGGAAGATGCGCGACGGTGTGGAGGAAAAAAAAAACGAAAGGGCGACTTTCTTTTTTTTTTTTTTTAACGACGACGTTCAGATTCACAAGCGAGCGCAGAGGCGAGGGCAACATGCAAGGGCAAGGTCAGCGATGCAGAGTGGGAGTTGCGGAGCAGGAAGCATGGGCGCGGAAAAGCCTGAGACAGCGAGAGAGCATAAAAAGAAACGCGAGGAATTTTCTTTTTGAGCATTTTTTTCCTTCGAAAGAGGAGTATGACAGCCGTGACGCTTCGGGTTTTTTTTTTTTTTTTGGAGGCCTTGTTTTTTTAGTTATGTTCATCTCTTTTCGGTGATTACTTATCGCGTCCGCAAAGCAAGTCTGCGTTCACGCTGAGGTGATACTACAAATCGGTTCATCTCTGCTTGCGACGAAGAAGCGGACGCATTTTTCGCTAAGCGAGACAATGGATATTCTTCGGCAACTGCAAAGAAAAAAGCAGGCCGTTGTGACCAAAAAAACGAATCGCACCACAGGAATGTGGATGAGCTGGAGGCATTCATGCTGCAAAGTTTGTGCTGCTCGCGTAAAAAAAAAATTCACAGACTTCTTTAAAGTAAACGTACATTTTTTGGTGTTTACTTGTGCATTTGTTTTGTTTTATTTCTCATGAAAAACGAGTTCGAGGACCCACCATTGTAATGGTAAGTCTTTTTGGTCGATGAAAAATAAGTGTTTATGGTTAATTTTCGAGCTTTCACTATAACGACCTTTCAAAATAACGAACAAATTTCCTCAGTCCCCTGAAGTTCGTTATACCGAGATTTCACTGTACATGGCAGGGAATTGCACTGAAGCAGCACTTTAAGATGAATATCTGGGAGCACACTTTTGAGCGTACTCCTCCATCACGTGTTGCAACTCAATTAGGTAGCTAAGAATACAATGTATTCTTAGCTATCAGGTCGGTATCACTTGGTGAAAAAGTTCAGCAAACAAATCAGGTGTTGAAGATATCTTATGCACTTCCTGCTGTTGTAATCAATTTCTGCACTGTATGTTTTTTTGGCTATTTGATCTCGATCAGACTTGTACCCCAAAAAATAACCACAAATCTTTCTTAAACGCCTATAGCACCCCGTTTTTTAAATATCTGCTTACCTGATGTCACTTGGTGATTGTACATCGCAGATTAGTTAAGAAGTTCGCAGGCATAGAATGGAATCTGCTTGCACAATATAGGGCAAACGTGAGATCATTCAGAGAGGCCTTCATCGTGCAGTGGACTAAAACAGGCCGAGAATGATGAAGATGATGATGGTGAACGATGATAATGATGATATGGGGCCTCTTCAACCATGGCCCCCTTGTTGCAACTCTTATTAAGCACCCCTGTACGTGTGCCAGAAAACTGCACTGGCCTTTCTATTTGATATTATATTGTATGTTGTACAGTGATGTTGAGTGCAACCACACAAATTGATTCAAGTGACAGTGACTGAGTCTTTTCTTTAAAATTTTCCAGCCAATCATGTACCAAGAGAAGCAAAGGTTTGAAAGCCATACGGTCTTCGATTTCAAGCCCCAAATTGGTGAGTGTATATTCTCCTGTGTTTTCGTTCTGAATTTTCTTTGAAGGGCCCAGCAATACACTTCTAAGAAATAATATGTGACTTTATTACCATATACAGTCGAACACGGATATATCAAACCCACATATATCGAATTTTCGGCTATATTGAACTCGTAAGTTCTATATTGAAATTCCTTTGTAAATGTACTGAAATTCACACGTTTGTATTGAATGGTGTTTTTACCCGCCTTCAAATATATCGAATTCCTCGCAAGCTGAAAGGTGCGCTTCAGCACTCACCAGTGCCCCGTGATATCCGTGGCAGTGCTGCTGTGCGTGCGAGTTGGACGGTGCGCTTTGGCACTCCCAGCACCCAGTGACCTCCGCGCGGCACCACGCCTCTGCCAAAACCCGAAACGCTCGAAAAAAAGGTAGGGGTGAGAGGGCTCAGACTGCATAATCTCTAACTTGCGGAATGGATTTTTCTTTTTTCATTTCTCGTTCTCTCTCTCATTCTGTCTCTGCGAACCTGTTGGCAGAAACGAAGGAGCCGACGTCCTGCTCCTTTTGCCTTTTTTACTTTTTTGTTGCTGTTTTGCGAGTTTTGAACAGCTGGCGCCTTTTATTGTTGCCCTCGCAGATAGCCATCGCCTCGTGAGCACTGTGTTGCTTCCGTTCGTGCGTCACCTACGTACCACTGCATGTGCAGCATTTCTCTTTTGCGTGCGTGCTGTGCGAAGCTGTTGCAGACACCTTGAATTGTCGACTTTTTGTGCAGCTATGGCCAGTGTCAAGAAGCGCAAGACCCTTGACTTTGCCACGAAGTTGAAGGCTATTCAGCGTGTTGAGGTGGGCGAGAAATGTTCGACTATCGTGGACGACTTCAGGATACCACAGAGCAGTCTGAGTACCTTGTTAAAGAACAAAGCAGATGTTAAGGCAAAAGGGGCAGAGCAGCGAACTTCGGGAGCCTTTCATGTGCGCGCTCCTGCCCATGAGAATCTAGAAAAAGCACTCTATGCTTGGTTTTTAGAAGTGCGCAGGAAGAACATTTTGGTGGATGGCCCGATGCTGATTGCCTAGGTCAAATGGTTTGCTGCTGCACTCGGTGAAACAACTTTGCCAACAACATCGGGTGGCTTCACGGATTTAGGCAGCGCTAGAACATCATTGACTAAACTATCTTTGGCAAAATCAAAGCTGTTAGCAGCCAGGACATTCAGCAGTGGATGACGAAGCAGTGGCCGGAAATTTCCGCTAAGTTTTCTCCTACGGCGATTTTCAATTCCTGGCGAGACGTGAAGACGGACACAGTGGTCAACTGCTCCACAAGGCAGGCTTTGAGACGGCAGAACTTGCGGAAACCGGTGAAGACGGACACAGTGGTCAACTGCTCCACAAGGCAGGCTTTGAGACGGCAGAACTTGCGGAAACCGGTGAAGTCGACAAGCGCATAGACGACGCGTTTCACGAGTTGTCGTCTTTCTTCCCGGCAGCAGTTCCAGACGAAGTGTCTGCGTACGATTTTGTGAAAGCGGACTGCAATGTCCAGGCTGTTGCGAGCCTCGTTGACGAGGTCAGTAGCTGGACTTGCAAGGACTTAGGATGCCTTGGCCGACAGCTCATGTGACGAGGACCGTGCGCAGCAGTGCAGGGACGTTGGTCTTTTTTGTAGATGACTGTGCTCTGACGTTGCCAACGGTGGCATGTGACATGGTGAAAATTATTTAACATCACATGCGTAGTTTATGTAATTTGTTGCTTGAAGAGATGAATAAAAGTTTGGATAAATCATGAGATGCAATTAGGGAATGTGTGCATCTTTTTTCAATTTTTTTCTCGTTAATTACAACAAGATGCGGGACTAATGTGCCGGCGTTTTGCATGCGTTGGTGTCCCCATAGTCAGCGCATCGAGCAGGCAACAGCCGTGAAAGCCAAAGTAACGATCCTGTGCGTTCGCGCACTCATTGTGCTCATCTATTCTACTGCGTCTAAGCCAGCATTTACAAACCATCCCACAGAAGCAGGCAGTAGGCCACAAAACAACGCTGGTCAACAAAATAACGCCGCTCGCGTGCTTGGGGGTTGGGCTTGTTCGTGCACGTCAGGTGCACGTGACCTCTTGGTTGAATGCCAGAGCGGGTAGGAAATAGATTTGACTTACGAAGGCAACGTGCAGGAGTGGCAGGGGTTTCGAGCTTGCCTCTTTTCATCCTCGTTTCGCGCCACTTCAAAAAAGCAGTTTTCTCATCTCGTAATGAACCAATGAAAAAAAAATTTGTGGCATAATGATCCTTCTCGGACACACAACAACGTACACGATGTAACTAAAATTTGTTATGGGGCCTGGTGAGTGGCCCTTTTTTAATTTTTGATATGCTTCACCTCATTACACTCGTATTGAGGCAAACCTGCCTATCAATTATGAGTAAACTTCCCGAAGGCCCAGACATATGCAATCAATGTTCGAGTAATAATGGCTTCTCCAGATTTTTAATATGCTTCGCCTCATCACATTCCGGTATTGCGGCAAAGCTGCCTGTCAGGCTCCTCTGTGGTCGCAAGTATATGTTGCATACAGGATTCCCTGTACATGCTGGTGGTGCCACATCGCCCAAATGTTAAAAAGTAAAGGTGGGGGCTCAGTAATTCCATTCCGGACCTGAAATTTGGGCAATAAGCGTAAAAAAAAATCGGACACTAAAGATTTTTTAGCATCCACCATTTCAGATATTGTTTTTATTGATGTCTACTAGGGAGATTTGGAACTCCGAACACGAAGGGAGTTCACCCTTGTCTACCACATTAGTTGGACGTTCACAGACGGTAAAAGAAAAGCTAAGAATCAGTACTTTTGCCTTTTACGTGTAAAGGGTTGTCGACAACACTGATTGCGGCAAATATTGGACTATCCACATTAAATGAAACCCGAACAGCGACAAGCCTTTGCGATGGTATAGTGCGAGACGTCAAGTTATCACGATTGACAGGCGCTCACATCCTGTTCGGCAGCTCTGCGCGTATATGCGTGCCTGTCCATGGTGATAAGCGGATGGTGCGCACTGTACCATCGCAAAGGCTTGCCACTGTTCGGGTTTCATTTGACACAGATAGTATATAAACACACTCCAGTTTCTGCATTGCCACATAAGACAACTGTGAAACATCATCTCTCCAGCGCTTCATCTACCTTGCTAAGAAGAAACACTTTGATGTTGCTATCTCATAAGAGCATGCTTGAGAATCCTCTCCTACTTTTTTTTGCAATTTTGCTTTGAAGTACTATCAGAAAACTATTTTAAAGATATTCGAGAAAGATTTGAAAAATATTTGATTCGATTCACACGTTAATATTCAAATTTTCTTTGCAGCCAAAATATTTTTATTCACACAGCTGTAGTTTGTTGTGTAAAGTTCCTTGTATGGTTCTAAATACATTTCAGTTCATCCTAAGCTTATGGTGAAAAGTTTTACCAGTTAAGCTTATTTCCAAAGCATTGAAAGTTACTTTTCTTGTGCCACAGGTGCTTAAAAATTCAATCACTTTGTGGGTCGGAGCACTCGTACTTCAGTAAAGTTGAAAAGACAAGAAAAACTTATTTGTTGCTGTTCATTTTGCTGTTTTTTTTTATTTCCATGCTGCCAGGCATGCCATTCAGTTACAGTCAGCCTCAAGTTACTCAAGACATGCCTCCAGTTCATTTTGCTGTTTTTTTTATTTCCATGCTGCCAGGCATGCCATTCAGTTACAGTCAGCCTCAAGTTACTCAAGACATGCCTCCGAAGAATGATGTAAGTAATATAAACAATTTTGATTGAGTAATAAGTGTGAGCAATGCACAATGTAGGTTTAGTGACATGCTTTTTTCACCTACTATTTTCTAAGCTATTTTGTCGATTGCTTGTTTATGTACATTCACAGCTCATTCATTATTCGAAGCAGTAATCCTTGAAAAGCATGCTGTGGGAAATGATTTTGTCTCATCAGCCGTATGTAGCAGCTGCACCTTCTGTGGCAAGCTGTGACGAAGGCTAAACGCTTGCATCTTAGTGTGTTCTTCAGTGCTTGCATCCTTTAAAGTTTCAGTACATTCTGCTTGTGCCATTGTTATTTCATTGAGTCACTGATGTTCCATTTCAGCTTTCTGGGAAAATGTTAGGTACATTTGAAACAATTGTGCACACTTGTTTCACACAAATATATTGGCAAGCTTTCTTCCAGGAGCATAATTAATTCCCACATGTCAACAGCGTCACGGTATATACTAGGTAGCGAAGTTAATGCCATGTGCATCGAGTGTGAAGCACATTGTATTTTTGCCATACTGCAAATGTTAAACAACTGGAAAAAGTAGACTGGCTGAGTTAAGGCCTTATAGAAAATGTAGCTGTGACGTATTTTATAGGGGTGGAAGTGATGTGCCAATTGCGCCATGCTGCTCCAAGCCGCATCCAAACGGCAATTTGAATGTGCAATGCTAAATTTAGTTGAGAGTTTCATCATAGACTGAGCAAAGGAAGCAACCACATTCATATAAAATTTCACGTCCATAGCAAACATCATATTTTGGATCATGCATGAATCTTGCGCCACGTGAACACACTGCATGATTCTTGTTGAGGTGGCGTTCGTGTGCATATTTCATTATGCGACTCTACATACGTTTTAACAGCAAAGCTGTTAAGGAAACTATAAAGACGGCAGTGATGTTGCAAAAAACTCACCACACCATTATCGAGCAATCGGCGAGCGTGTGCTGTGCTCGGTGTTTGCTTGGCAACAATGTGGCAAGTTTTTTGCCATATAAACTTTAAAAAGTAAAATAAATAAAGATCAGTGTTGCCGATGAAGCAAAGTCTGCAATTGCAACAATGTGTAATGTTCTAATGGTAATGCCGCATGCACTCCTTTCTTTCTATTGTTACCGCACTATTACGTGTGTAACGCTGCCTTGCGCTAACCGCACCTGAATGACTGGGGACCATCTAGGTAATTTTAGAATCTTCCAATGAGATTACTTGCACAACGCGTACATCACAGCAACGTTACTAGAATAAACTCAATATCAAAGCTCCGTATCTCTGCCAGCGGACGAGAGTGGGCCGAATGAAGGTCGCGAGAACTAGTGGCGCTAGTCAGATTTTGCGCTACTCTCGATGCATCGTCTGTTATAGCGATGTACCGCGGAGAACCACTGCACTGTTGCTCGTGGCAGCTTTCTTGTTGTACTACTATCAAACTTGACCATTCATTGTCGTCCAGTCGACATTTTCGCATAACATTTGTGGACTGCTTATGTGGGTTCGCGTAAGGTCGCCTGTATAGATTGGCCCAGATGCGTTGCCCATTTCGAGTTGGCTGAGAATCAATATCCTGCCTATATTTGAGCTGTCTGCATTGCATTTAACTTCAAAGTACGTTGGGTTCTAGGGGAATGAGCATTTTCAGCATTGTTTTTGTGACTATCGTTACCATTCTAACCTGAGCTGTCTTGCCTAGAGGAAAAACAGGTCTTTAAAAACCTCAAAGAAGTTGATTTACTGGAATACAAAAATGCTCTAGAAAAACAGTGCTGATGTTTTCTACTAGTTATAAAAAAGACGTTCTCGAAAAAGCAGTATGCGTGCTTTACACTGTTCATCAGGCAAGTCGTCACGGCGGCTCTCAATCGAGGGTGGAGTCGGAAATGCTACAGCAACATCACCTTCTTTGCCCCATTTTCCACATTTTTAGACTGTTTTTGATTGGCTTTCTTGCAAAAAAAAAAAAAAGGATATTCTCATCACAATATGAAAGATTCCTAGTCTAGCCATCACATTTTCTTTATGAGTGGTATAACCTAAAGATGCAGTGGCAACTGCTCCAACAGTCTAAAAGAGGTCACCAACCGTGGGGTTTTCGTGAAATGCCTCTAGACACCTTTCTCAATTGCTTTTAATGTAGGAGGAAGGCCGCAAGGGGGGATATAAGCAGGCTTCTTGAAAACACCTCTTCTGAGTGAGTGCACTTTCAAGTGGTTTGGGCCTGGCTGCTCCAGGGATACCTGCTAGAGATGCTAGGCACTTTTTGCACGTTGTTACTTATCCAATTTTTCTGCGAACATAACCACATATGTAGTACGCTCGCAGTGTGGACTGAGCTGCACCAGAAAAAAGTGGCACGGATATGTGCCACACCGCTTTATCTGCTACAAGGTTGAAGAATGGTAACGCTGCGATTGAGAAAAATATCTACCGCTGTATAATGAAGCAAATGTAACAAAACATGGTTACTGGTAAAGATGACCACTTATATATGATTGTCTTGGTTCATAAGGAAAATATATAATAAATAAAAAATATCCACTGCTTTGGAGGCAGCGTGACAGTTGACAATTGATTGAATATCACTGTGATGCAACTGTAAGTATAGAGAGAATTGTTTGTTGCATGCCTTTCATTTTGCTGTTCTATTTCTGGTGGCTCCTTGATACTGGGAACTGGGTATTCAGGGTCTCAAGGGGCGCCATGTGTTCTGGAGGAAGATTGGCGCCTTGGTTATAAACATTGGCACTGTTTGCCACCTGGCAATCAAAAATTACACACTTGTCACATTTTTAATCATTTCAAAATGTCTTTTTTCTTTCACAGCTTTACAGAAAGAGCATTACATTATGCAAAATTTGACAAGCTGCAATGTATACTGTAGTACTTTCCAAACTGGCAAAGACTACCTTTCTGAGGCATGAAAAGTAACCGTTTTCATGCGGTAATGAAAGAGTTAACACACACAATATTAGACAGTTATAGTATACCAGACTTACGGGGATACCGGGCATACTGTGATAGCGGGATTGAAGTGCACATGCGCAGATCCGTACGTTACCCTTACCGCTTACCGTACACACGCTTTCTTTCATATTTAGCGTTACCCTGGTAGCGTAGGTGTACGTGCTCATGAAACATGGCGGCGCTCTTGGACGCACACTTCGAAGTGATTTTGGCTTGGTTGTTCAAAGATTCACTTTGTTTGCAGCAAACGACTGTTTAACGTGGCTTCGCTTGCCTTCAGTTAGCTTCGACGACCGAGTATTACAGATAAGTTGGCGCACTTTTTCGGATAGCTTCTCATTTCGAACGTTTTTATGCCCAACTACAAGATCGATGTAAACAAATCGGCAACACAAATGTTCTTGTGTTTGGTGCACGTTTCATATGAATTTACTTTTATTATTAACTAAAATAAACTTGTAACAATGCTTTGTGCAGTGACACAGGCATACATTCTCATTTTATTTTCCTTTTCAATGTTCTCACTTCGCAAACTCCTGATAGATAGCGCCTTCATCCCAGCTGGACCACGTAAACCACGTCAACGCTATCTCGCTTAACTATGAGACGCTGTCCGCAACGAATGTTTGCTGCACGGTAACGTCATTCCCTTAACCTCCGCTATCGCGCTAAAGGTAAACTATAACTGTCTATTATGTGGTAAAAGTGTAGAATTGCACCAGGCGTTAAAACAAGTCAAATTTGCATCGAGTAGGTGTTTTAAAGGCCTACCCTTCACAAAGCGCTCAAACATATGTTTACATGTTGCCTTATCCATGCGTAGAGGGCCCTTCACGGATGGGCGTAGTTGGCACTTAACAGTTGTACTTTCAATAGACATTCTACGATAGTTTGAAAAGCCCATTGTTATACGCACAGAAGTTCACTTCCTTGTATCATGGTAGAGGCATGCACTGAGAACCGAAGCCAGGCTAGTAATTAAGAAGGTGATTCGCACAGGGCCCGGTTATGCTATCGCAGTTTACTGAAGGCGAAGCTCAAGCGTCATTCAAGTTTTGGAATTGCTGTGTACGTAACTGTTGTGCAACTATTGTACACAATATATGCATAATACTCAACGGCATCACCTTTGCCATATCTGCAAATTGCTGCTCCATGTAATAATAATAATAATAATAAAATGATTTTTCATTTCAACAACAATATGAACTGTCGGGTAATGTGCAAGCATAGAGATGAAATTTTCGTATCGTCTGTCTGCTAGCCAGTCAATGCAGGGTGAAAGAGATCGGGGGCCGTATATGTTGAGCTTCTCAAGCTGCTTATATTGGCCCCTGCCACTGTGTAACCATGTTGGCAAAGAAAATAAATAAATAAACAAACGAACAAGCTTAATTGCATGAAGCGGAGTCATCACTGCTGTTGCCATTGTTGGAGTCTGGCACAAAGGTAGTCCGCATACCTCAAGGTAGATAAATATGCTCCTTCTCGCTATGCCTTGTACATGAAAAACGCGTTTTCGTACAAGAAACTATGCCATGTCAAGAACAGCCCAAGAAGTGACGTGTGAATACGGTGCACTGTCACGGTAATCGCTTGCCTTCGTCGCTGCCGATCACTACACGCATTCCCCGGGACGCAGGAGCTGCAGCGCCACTAGTACTCGCGACCGCCACTAGGCCCCCCTCTCAGGTGGAGCTTTCAAACTGAGTTTATTCTAGTAACGATGCATTACAGTTTGTTAAGGAACTTATGTGGTTGCTAGCAAAAACGCTGAAATCTTCGATTGCACATGTATAAACGTCTACGCACTTTGTTCCGTGGCTAGATTATCGACGATCGACGCTCTATGTTCGCTGTTATCAATCTACAGGGTGCATTGCTTGTAGAGTCACATTTCATTTTTCGGGCACAGGTTAGCCCAAATAAAAAGTTCACTCGTGAAAACAGCTGCGTGCCTTTGTAGACATCACGACCTTGTGACAATATGAAGGCCAACAGCTAACTCTTTTGGATTCGAC